TATGCTTTCATTATTTATCCTTATTAATTTAAGATTTATTTCTTCTCTTGTATTGATGAATTGATGAACATTATGCGCTTAAATGAAATATATTGATTCTAGGTTCATCTCTAGTCTTAGTCAAGATGTATGCTTGTATGATCATTAATTCAATTTGACCTTAATGCTTGTGGTTAAAATGCTTGAATTGTTTTTCTCTTGATTGTGAAGGATATTTTGTGAAATATGCTTATTTTTGTGCTTAAAATGTTTTATTAATTTTGTGAAATATTTTGGATCTTGTGCTCAATTGATATATTTCTTATTTGTGATTTTAAATATGATGAACTACTTACTTGTAAATGATATGTGTTATTGGTTCATCTATTGTTTTTGTCAAGTATGTGCATATTTGATAAATGTGATTTCTCTTGACTTGACATGCTTACAACATGACTTAAGTGAGTGATTTTCTTATGATGATTATTTTTAGCTTAAGTCATTATTGATTATGGCCTATAATTTGTGTAGACATATTTATGCTTTTGTGCTAAAATTTTCTTGAATATGTTTTTTATGATAAATATGTCTTCCTTAAGTTTCTAGTTTTCATATGGTGTAAATTTTATTTTGACATATTCTTGGTTGAGTTCTTGAATATACATGAATATTGAATATATCTATTTTGTGTTCATGAATGATCTAAAAGGTTTGATTTTTGCACATTACATGAGAATTTTTTCTTTAGTGCCATTCTTGTGGCCTCTAGCTTAAGTATATATCTCCCTTGCAATTGGTAACTTATGCTTAGTGAATAAATTTTCTTTTGCCTATAATGACTTAGAATATGAATTGTTTTCTAACAATTGGTATAATTTTGATCAACTGATTTTCTTGATGCTTCTAATGAAAGTCTTTTGTCAAGAAATTTTTTAAGTCTATGTTAGGAGAACTTGAAATGAGCATGGATGAGCTTACATTTTTGAAATTTCAAGTATAGCAAGCAAAGCATGTCATCGTCATTGATTAAGCCCAAGCACATAAAAGACTAGCTCAAATGATATGGATTGGAGGATTCAAAGTCTCACTCAACTACAATGAGCACAACAACATAGCTTGATAAAGATGAAGATAATTGTATTGAATTTATACTATGTGCCTATGATTTATAATGTTTAATGCATGATTTGATAAATTCTTGCTTTTATAGGTGCAAAAATGAGATATTGTATTTGAATTTGTGAACACTTTGCACAAATTAATCACCAAGCTACTTGATAAAATTTGTCTTAATATTTTTTTTCAAAGCTTGGATTGATTAATTCACCTTCATTAATATTCATGCCTAGTTCTTGATTGCTTTGATTAATAGTTTTAATTGCATGAATATTTGTTTGAATATTTCGACATGGACATGAGTTAAATAGATTGATTTCTTTAAACATGTTCATTGATTGAGTCCATTGAGATAGCATGTACCATATTGTGTCTAAAGGTTTGCATTTTTTTTGGGTATATTGCTATACATGTTTTGAAATGTTCATGCATATGCTTGTGTGATTTTGTTTGAAATAAATATATGTTTGATTACTTGCATATGCTTAGATTAAGTACATTGTTATGCATTGAAATAATTTGGATTATAATTGAACAATTATGCTTTCATTATTTCTTTGCTATAGCATATGTGCTCATTATATTTGAAAAATCATGCTTATATAATTTTTGTTATGATATGATGATAATTGAACCTCATTGCCCATTAGTTCTTATGATTTATTATATACATATGAGCTTTTGGTTCTTGTTTGGATAGGATAGCTTATGGAAGATTACTATTATCATTTATGTATGTATTGAATGAATCTTTCATATGCTTAAAGTATGTTTGTTCTATGAAAGTTGAATAAAATTGCTAAAAATTGGTATCGAAATTGCTAAAGATTTTTTAACTTTCATAGATACTTATTTATGTGCCTATTCTTAATATAGCTTGTACCTCTCATGCAAAATTATGTGTGCCTTATATTGATTAATCCTTATCTTGAAAATGAGGAGAAATCTTATAATAAATTTTGCTTGATTTGTTTTGTGATAATAATTGGTATGCTTCTTGATGACAAATCTCTAACAATTGATATCCATAACAATTGGTATGAGCTTGTATGCATGTGCTTGAATTTATGCTTAATTACTATTGATGTTTTAGGTTCTAAGCACATCTTATGATAACATGATTTATGAGTAGATTGCATATCATTCATTATCCTTTGCTTATAAATTTCATGTAGTAAATTTGATGACTTGTGCTAAAATACCAAATTTGGATACACTTATACTTTTGTGCTTGAATACATCTATGTGAACTTCATTGTGCATATTACACTTGATTACATGTATTCAAAATACTCTTGATATTATTGGTATCAAGCATTTTGTCTTATGTCTTGAATTGATCTCTCTTTCTTTTGAAATGACAAAAAGGGAGAGAAATATCATATAGACAAATTTGCTTATGCTTGATACACATATGTTTATGTGTGCTTAATTGCTATATATGCTCTAACATATATTGTTGAGTTGTGTTGGATTAGGACGCATAAATTGAGGGGGAGTTTTACCATTGGATTAGGATGCACAAATTGAGGGGGAGTTTTGCCATACATTGTTTAAGGGAGAGTTTTCCAAAATGTTTTTTCAAAATCCTAAATGTTTCAAAGAAACTTTTTTATCAAGCAGATTTATCTTTAAGTTTTGTCATATCAAAAATGGGAAGATTGTTAGCCTTGAATTGATCCTTATTTTGAAATGACAAAACATTAAAGATAAATAAATTTGATCAAGATTTTAAAAAAAGATTTATTTAGTACATGTTCTTAAGTTTTATATTTTGGTACTAAATAAATAATATGATTTTCAAAGCTTAAGCAAACATTTCTTTGTTTTCATATTTCTCAAACCAAATTTACTTTTAAAGATTATTTATTTGAGCTTAAATGAAAGTTCAATTGTTATTTTTAAAGTGAACTTATTCATTTTGGACTTAATACAATTTTGATAATATTGGTTTTGAGAAATAGATTAACTTAAGAAAGCTATTTTACAAGAATAAAATTTTCTAACATCAAACTTGTTTTATTTTTCTGTATTAATTCACAAAGTCTTAATATTTGAATTTTATATGGTTGGAAAGCTCTTTGAGTCTACTTTCTAATGGTTTAAACAAAATCAAAATCCAAATTTTCTAAGAAAAATTTTGAATTTTTACTAGACACTCTATAGTTATCAGAAAAACTGCACAAAGCATAATTTTGAAAATTTACTATAATTCTTACACAGTGAATTAGGTAATGCACTTTATATGATAGAAAGCCTTTTAAGTCTAGTTTATAAATCTTCAAACGGTTTGTGATTTGGATTTGTATAACTCAAGTTATGATCAAATTAGTAAGTAGAGTGCAAAACGTGAAACTATCATCCAGCATGGACAGGATCAATCCCCTCTAGAAGGGATCAATTGGTTTTCAAACAGAATACTCCTAGGACCCAAAATCCAGAACAGTGATAGATCCCCTACAAAAGGTATCAATCGGTTAGGCTATTTTCAAAAGAAAATTGGTTCAAAACATGAACCAATCGATCCCTTAAGGGAGGAGATCGATCCCCTGAAGGCCAAAATCACTCCAACGGCTATTTTATCAAAGATTCAACAGTTACTTTCACTTCCCAAACACTTCCAACAACTACTTCTTCAATTTCTTTATAAAGTGGGCACTCCAACACACCAAGAAGATTGATGAATCAAGAGAGCAAGAGCTAACAAGCAATATTTTCATTCTCTCAAATAATCAAGAGTTTTTAGAGCTTCAAAGTCTATATCTTTGCATTTATTATATCCAAATTTTTTTTTTTTGTTCATTCATCATTTTCTGTCTATACCATTGTATATTTCAAATTAGCAAACATTCAACCTTTGAGAGATGAGTTTGCAAAGCACTTCAAAAATTTTGTATTGTGTGCTTATAAGCTTAAGAGGGAGAATAACCCTTAAGAGTGTGTAGTGTTGAGTTTGTAAAGCTTTGAGAAGCTTGTTTGTAATCTTCAACACATAGTGGATTGGAGCCTTGATGTGGACAATCAAGAGAGAAGACGTAGGTGTCTTGTGGAGAAGAATCGAATCTCTATAAATCATTGTGTTTAATTTTTCTATCCCTATCTCATTATAATTTATTATTGTTCATATTTGATTTTAAATTTATTAATTGTTATTGTTTTTATTATATTTTCATCAAAATAGCTTTTTATTTAACTAAATTGAAATCATTATTTGAAAAAAATTTAAAGAGATCTAATTTATCTCCCCTCTTAAATTACCATTTAACCTATAAAGCTAATAGATCTTATTTAGACAAAAAAAAAATTAACACCATTAATTTTTTTATCAATTAAGATAAAATTTTATATAACATCAATGAAATAAATCAACATTTACCACATGACATAATTAATATATATATGAATATTAAATAAAAGATTTTTTTATTTTCTCATTCACTCTCTCTCTAAGCTCTCTATAAGAATTTAATTGACTATTTTTTTAGAAATTGATTGATTAAATTTTATTATATGTTTAGATTTTGTATATTTAAGAATTTAATTAAATTGAAATAACAAATTAAAAACTTGATTAATTATAATAAAATATTAAAATCTTAAATGAATATTAAATTATAATTCAATAACATTTTTTATCCTTAAGCTAAATAACAAATAATCAATCTTACATTTAACTAAATTCATGTAAATTGATTACACTCTAATATTTTTCCTATATAATCAGGATACAAATTATTATAAAATAAAAACCTTAATAAATTAGATTGGATTAAAAAATGCAAAAATCCGAACCAATCCTTTATCAAACCCACGTAGAACACATTCGTCCCACCATCCACAGTAGCAAAATTTTGTTAACATATTTAAAAAGAAAAAAAAAATTATCCCTTTCGCTTGAGGTACTACTACGGCAAGCCAGCAATGGTATCGACAGGCTGTGATCGTACATCTGAATGTGACGTAGAAGAAATCCAAGCCAACCATCTCGAAATTAGTCCTGCTGCAGCGGCCTGTCTTTCTCGACGCCGACATTGATGATGATGACGACGGCTGTTGTTGTCGTTGTTATTGCTATAACTCACTTTGCTCGAAAACCTACTAAGGCCCGTGATTTCCGACACACTTCTCGAATTTATTACGCTTCTACCAATCTCATCAACACCAATGCTCTCTATTTCTGAACCATTCTCCTCCTTTCTGTGTCCATTACTAATATTATTATTATTATTTTTTGCCTCTGCCTCTGCCTCTACTACCAATGATCCTGTTCCCAATCTTCGACTCTGACTTATTATCATTTCTGACCGTAGATACAACAGATCTGACGGATGTACGTCACTCCACCTTTGGTGGAACCCACTTCCTAAACCCGATCCTGTACAACCACCAGAACCCGAACCCGATACAATTATCCGATGCTCCAATCTCTTCTTCTCATCCTCTCTTAACAAAAGAAGCCCATCTTTTCTATAACCCAATCCCCCCACACCAACTACAGCTGAACCTCCTGAACTGTCCAGTGATCTCCTAAACCACGTTGTTGCTTTACTACTACTTGCTCCCCTTTCTCCAGCGTACGAGTGCCGCCCTGAAACTCGTCGAGTCCTTGAAGACTCATACTCAGTATTACTCTCAAAACAAGGAGAAGAAGAAACAGGAGCAGCCAGATCTTGGTTTTGGCGGGAGGAGTAGTCTTCTTCTATTAAGAGAATGTCTTCCGGGTCAACTCGGTATCGACAGAGAGGACAAGTAGAATGTGCATCCAGCCAAGTATCAACGCACTCGACATGAAACGCATGTTTGCATTTAGGAAGGAGTCGTAGAAGCTCATTGGGTTCGAATCTGGTTAAGCAAACAGCGCACTCGAGTCCATCTTTTTGACCTCTAAGAGAACTGAACCGAAACAGGGGAAGTGACTCCACCACGACCCTGTTGATCCCCGAATTCTTCCTTTCTGAAACACTACCACTGACTAGTGACGACGCATGGGTGTAGCTAAATGGGTTATTATTGTTCCTTCCGCAGTGCTTGGCGTAAAGAAGGAGAAGAAAAGTAATGGAAAACAAGGTTGTTAGAACACCGACAATCACGGCTATGCTTGGTTTGAAAGGAGAAGAACTGGGATTGGGTCTTATTTGTTGAAGGGATGGGGATGGGGAAGGATTTGACGCGGTAATGTTATCAACAACAATATTATTACTATTGCTATTGTTATTGTTGTAATTATCCGCTAATAAAGGGGGAATGCGGACGACGAGCAGGAACAAAATGAAAAGAAATGTTAAGGGATAGAAAACGCCCATCTTTGGTGCTGGGTTAATGGCCTACTGCCAGGGAGAAATGAAAGGAAAGGGGTTTGGAATTAGGAGCCAAGACAATGAAAATGAAGGTTGGGTAGAGATTCGAAGAGATGGGGCTCTAGTGAAAGCATACAAACAAGGCAAGACAAAGGCATCTAACGAGAGTTATTATTATTTATTTTTTATATAATTGAGTAGTAATAAAATGCATAGTAAGTATTATTATTGCCAACAAACAAAATGAGAGTGAAAAGATAGTTCGTTGTGTGTATTTATTTAACGGCCTTTCATCAGAGACAGATTGGCTCTAGAAAGGAAAGCCTTTTCGAAAACTCAGAGCTTCTACTACTCTGGTGTATAGTCTAGTCTAGTCTAGTCGTAATAGCAGAGACAGACAAAGAGGCAGGCATGACCGTGGTCTCAAAAAATTTTTTACACTATTATAGTATAGCTATTAAGCTCATTTAATATTAATATCGGTTTTTTCTATTAATTTCATTATTTGACTCCCTCTTTACTTTATATTTGGCTTGCCTTTTAAATGGTAAATTAGTTACAGCTTATGGCATGGTTTTGGGAATGGATTTGACTTTTTAAGCCCAAAATATAACGCAATATGTCCTTTTTGTCATCGTTCCCTCCTTCCCTCGTTTCCTTCCCCTTAACCTAAACTTAAATTGATCATTCATTCTTTATTTATTGTATTTATCCACTCAATCAATAAAGTTAATTTCTACTCTCATTAAATCAATATGCATTTGATTATCAAATCATCATTAAAAAAGAATCGACACTCAAACTTTCCGTCATATCTCGAGTTTTCCATTATTTCTTTGTCCAGACAAAAAAATTTATTCAACTAACATCAATAATGTCTCATCCACGTATCACCTCACAATAGATCATTTGGCATCTAATTTGCCTAAAATTCTTAAATACAATCCATAATGACTTATGTGGCATTTTCTCAAGCTTTACATGATTTCTCATCAACTATCAAAAACTTTAGTCACATCACCACCCATTATCTCATATATAAGGTAAAAAAGAGATCTAGGTATGGTATTGTGAACCCTTTTTCACTAAGCTTCCTTTACATTTTTTGCAACTCACCTTATTTTTCAAAAAAAAAAAAAAACCTAAACACTTGACTAATTTGAACGTCGGAATATGTCTCAGAGAATCAATTTCGATGCCTCTTGACCACACTTTCCTGTTACAAGTACAAACCATTCCCAGTTCATCCTTTAGATCACCATCCAATTCACTAGTATCCAAAACAACATCAACAAAATTAATACCAACAATCTCAAGTTTCAGATGAGATAAACGATTTTGAAGCCATCTTTTCGATCATAGAAGTAATTTTTTTATGATTGAATGAGATTGAATACAAAAATTTATGTTAATTTTTTTTTGCATGAAACGTGACATACGAAAATATGTTTTTGGATGGTTTGCAAGTTTTCAAATTTATATTACTAGAAACTTTTAAAAGCTTTTAGATTTGCATATTTAAAAGCTTTTAAAAGTTTCAAACATGCAAATCTAGAAGGTTTTAAAAATTTTTAGATACACAAATCCAAAAACTTGCAAAGCTATTTGGAAATGCAAATTTGGCAACTTTTAAAAGCTTTCCGATTTGCATATCCAAAAAACTTCTAAAAGCTTTCAATTTGAAATTTTTGGAAGCTTTTAAAAGTTTTTAAAAAAGTAATTCGAAAACCTAGAAATCATGAAACAAATTTCCAATTCGATACCAATATATATATATATATATATATTATTCAATATCAATATAAAACACATGCAATGTAGGTTTAATTTGCATATTTGCTTTGAATTTGCTTAAATGAAATGTTTAAGAGACAAAGTGTTGACCATTTGTTTTATATCACAATAAATTTGGCACAAACAAGAAAAATTAGCATGGGTAAAGGTGGGGAACATGGTGCAGTCAACATTCAGAGGTGTCCAATTGCTGGTGAGAGAAGACAACGAGTCGAATAACATGTAAATAAGTCGATTGTTCATCCTTTAGAGGATCATATTGTTCTTAAAGAGGTACCTCTAACCTAATAGTGTGATGATAGGGTGGAGATGATGCAAAAGAGCTGACTTAGCGATTTTTTGAAAGGCTAATGGATATTTCTATCCTTAAGAGCTTAAAGATTCATGTTGCAATAAATATATGGAATGGTTAGGTAATAAATTTCATGACAATTATGCTTATGCTTCATTCTTGTTACTTAATGTTTGTAAAGTTAATAAAGCTTATTTTTTAGTCTAATTTAATTTTGTTGTTGTTATAGGAATGACACTCGTTGAAATCAATCAATCATGGGTTAAAGTTATAACACTGGCCTTCAAATGGTTCCTCTTAATGTATCTATACTAACATTGTTCAAGCCAAGTTGGCATAATTGATCATTACACTGATCATTTGGCCAATAATATGATAATGTTGACATTCTATAAAAGGTGGTAGCCTAAAAGGAACACCTTTCAGCTACCATTTAATGAGATGACTAGCACGTTAAATGATGTGTTCACAATTCTCCACATACTCGTCATGAGGCACTAGTATCATTTTAGACCATGATGATTGATAAGATGAACATGATATTGGTGCAATTGCTTAGAGTGTTCGGGTCTACGGCAACGAATGATACCAAAATTTGTAATGGTCTAGCATTTAAACTATAGTTGTTGCATGATACATTTAAAGATATTATGGATACAACTGTAGATCGAGGTAAAAAGTTTGCTAGCATAGCTTTTTTACTCAATCTCTTAGCATGTATGCTATTAGTTAATAAGAGCGAGTATAAAGTACTAGTGGTGTGCCTAGCCTTTTTAAGCAACATCATTAACACTAGTAGATATGCTTAGAGGCAATTTGTATAATATACTTATATAGGCAGCTTGATATAGCAAACATGGCTAACGTTCATCAAGTTGCTTATTATATTACATTTTTTCAAGTATGTATATAAGAATAGTTATTTGATTTTGTGAATTAATTATGTCTTTTATTTGATGCAAATGAACATATGATCAATGATGCTTCATGTATTTGATGTAGGCATAAATTTATAAACACCTTCCTACATTAGGTCCAGTAGCTAACATGGAATATTCTAATGCTTAACTTGTTACTCAATGGTGGAAGCCCCATACGTATGTCGCTCTATTGCAGCGATTATGGGAGCAATTTGATGACTTACTCTTATTTTAAGTGTATTGGGAGCCTTATGTGGCATAAGATAGCAACACCCATTACCTAAGTTTTTTTTTTTTTTTTGGTGTATGAAATGCAAGGTTATCATAGAGCTATATCATCCGGAGAAAATTCTATGATGATTTGGTTATGTACAGACTATTCCTCCAACCTCTTGAGTCGAGCGAGATTCATTATGCATCATGTATCAAGTTGATTATAACTTTTAGGACTAGTATTGGGAGAGATAAGATATGTATGTCCTATCTAGAGAGCATCAAGAATGACGATGTCGGACACTAGACGAGTGTTCATCATATTATGATGCGTAATATGCATCAATTTTACATATATGCATTCAAAATCTGAAATGAAGTTCTAAATTTTAGTCACTAATGATAGATAAAGAGCCTAGAAGTGAAATTGTAAGTCGTCAATTTATTTTTTATTGTTAATATTAATATCAATTATATGTTACCAATAGTGATTATCTTGTCAATATTTTGCAACACATCTCGAAAGAACTATCACTTATTGATAATGCTATGTTTGGTGGTTTAGATTAAAAAGTGGATATATGGTGAAGAGTACATTTAAGTGTACAGTCAATATTTTAAAAGACATCAGATGCTGGCAAGTACTAGTCAATTTACACCAATTGCCAGTTAATTTAGAACTCCTCGACAAACAACTTAATTGTTTAAACCTTTTATTATATATACTCCACCATTTTTGGAGCCATTTAGCACTCCACCTCATGGACTACCACCAATTTGCCCTCGAGCATCAGCCATTCACTTTCCACCGTATGCATCAACATCAGTACGTCCTGCTCCCCACTTTAAGCAATGTTAGAATCATCGCCCGCCAGTTCTCTACCTCTAATAGCTACAACAACACCACCCAATAACCCTCTGCCTCTAACATATACAAAATTGCCTGTTCTCCCTCCACCAGCCCAGTCGACACATGTATATTTACAAACAAAAGAGACCTAGAAATTAGGGCTTTATATATAATTATATATTTGTACTAATACACTTATAATTTTTTGTAATACATTTATATTTTTATGTTGAACCAATATTCGTTAAATGTTTAGTAAAATTCAATGCTTGGTATGTTTATTGATTTGTAATTTTATTTTATATTTTGTATTTTATGTATATTTTGTATATTTTTGGAAATGCATATCCAAAATTAATATTATATTATCGGATATACATATCCAATAAGTTTCATATGTTATAAGATATACATATCCGATAAATTTTATATATTATTAGATATGTATATTCGATAAGTTTCATATGTTCCCATATATACATATCCAATAAATTCTAAATGTTACTGAATTTACATATTTGAAAACATTTATACAATGAAGTAGAAATTGACGTATTAAAAGGCTAAAAAGTAATTTGTTTAAGGTTAATTAAATAATTTGCTATAAGGTATTTTTGTAATAAAAAAATTAAATGTATAAAGTAGAAATAGGGTGCAAATAAAAACTCTCTTAAAATTAAGTATTTCAGAAAATTCTTGACAAATCATTAATATTGAAATTGAGTGAAAGCTTAATTACAAGACATGAAGAAAAATAGAGAGAAGGAGGTTGCAAAAAAAATTTTCTAAAATCCATTATTGCAAAATACGCACACAAGAAAAATTGAACTAAGCCTAATTTATTGCAAATTAATCACCAATCGTCACCTCATTTACTTACAGCTCCCACCAGCCAAAACTTCTATCCACTACATACTCAAAATCACCACATGAACCATCATCACCTTCCACCTCGACCATTAAATCCCTATCCTTTGCTAAAACCAAAATCATCAATAATTAATAGTCCAAAAATCAATTAACACCAATATAAAATGCAACCATTAACACCTGAAAATTACCTGACATAGCTTAAAAAAATTTAGCACTGCAACTTTTATCCAGCCAAGAACACCCAAAATCAACTCCCTCTTCTTATCCGATAAAAAAAAA